CAATGCTTTCTGCTTGCCCTTATCGGCCTTCGACGCAGCTGGTGGCTTCTTCATATTCCTCCGTTTGGGAGCAAGCACCAGCTCATCGTCATCGGATGTTAGTTGGGACATAAACACGTCGTCGTCGTCGTCGCCAGCCTGTGGTGCCTTTGCCCGGGACGATGACGGCAGGCGATCGTTGTTGCGCTCAGAGGCCCCTTCCTCCAGACCAGCATCGCTACTCGCCGCAGCCCTGCTCCTGTCCTTCTTCTTGCGCGGAGACATGATGACTACTTCGACGATGCTCTTCTTTGTAGACTTACGTTTGCCCTTTGTTGGTTTGTCGCTCGAGACATCGTCACTTTTTTTTGTTTTCTTCGGCTTCTTGGGTTTCTTAGCAGGCTTCTCCGCCCCGTACTCGTCGTCGCTCTCTGGCACTTCAAAGTCCAGGTCCTTATCCAGTCCAGCACCAGAGGTGGCAGCGGAAGGCCCTGCAAAGATCGGAGGTGGAGGTGGCGGTGACATGTTGGTCCTCGTGACGAAGAGACGATTCTCGATTGGCGACTCGTCTACTGGCGACTCGAGGCGCGCTGCGCGCTTCCGCTTCTTCTCGCGCATCGGGCTACCCTCAGGTGACGATCCGGGTACGATCAGTGATTCGTCAAGTGGGGGCTGACGTGGAGGACTTGAGTTGATAATCGTGCTCGCAGGGAAAGGGTCTGAAGGAGGCAAAGGCAGGCTCGAGCTTGGGATAGGAACCGTCATGGGATCGGACGGCGGATGCAAGTCATATGGAAGCGGTTGGACGGGCTTAACGGGGCGCGGTCTTGGTTTGGGCTTCGGTTTCTGCACAGGCGGCAAGAGAAGTTCGTCGTCCGTGATGTCAATGACTTCTTCGATGTACTGTACGGGCTGCCTCGCGGCTTTGCGGGAGCGCATCTTGGTACGCTCGGCGATGTCAAGAGAGAAGTCTTCGATAGCAGGTGCTGGAGGGCTCATGCGAGGTACAGCACGCAGTGGCTCTGAATCTGCCGCGATGATAGGTTGCGGTGCTCGGTCTGAGATCGGTGTGCGGAGGAGCACAGGGTCGCTGACAGATGTGTTGGCGATGGAATCAGTACCTGAGCGATTGAAAATGGGTCGCGGACGAGGCCTGGAGCTGGGGCCAGTGGAAGCCTTAGATATATTGGAAACATCTGCTTGAGGGAGAGGCGGGAAAGATGAAATGGCTGACATTGTCTGAGCAGGTATATGACCAGTGGTGTCGACGGTAGAGATGCGTGAAGGCTCCAGAGTCTTATCAATGATAATCGAGGTAAACGCCTGTATGCTAGATATGCGATCCTCTGAAGGGGGCACGAGGGCGAGTACGTCAACGACGTGCGCCTAAGCGAGCAAAGTGCGCATGCGCACCCTGAACCTGGAGGATTCCTGAGGTGGCTGGGCGATGGTTTGGCTCTGACTTGTCCAGCTGGTCCTCCTCCTCGCTGTCCTCAATTATCCAGTCATCGCGCGGACTCATAATGGTCTGTTGGTGGTCTTTGAGGTGGTGATGGGGGTGGGACGAGAGCTGGACGGAATTGGCAGGCAGGCAGTCAAGTCGTGGCCTGTCGTGGCGCGTGGTCGCGACGCGTCCGGGAGCGTCACATGACTCTCCTTCTCTTCCGGAACTCGGCCCCGGCAGGCCGTACTGACCGTCATGTCTGTCCCTTCCACCTCTTCTCCAAGCACACCGCCCCGACCAAAATCCTCGAACAAAGCTCTTCCGTCACCTTTACGTTCGTCCTCTCCGTCCCAATCTCAACCCTCAAGCGCACAGACATCGGCCACTATCACCGCTTCATCCCCGCGGCATGTTGCGAGCCCCGTAGCTTCACCCGGGACGCCTCCTCTGGAGCGCTCAAAGACAAGGGCAAGAGACCTCCTGAGGAAGCACTATGGCCTGAATGTTGGACTTCCGACGCCTACCGGCCGTCCCATGGACCCAATGGACCTAGGCGAGCATGCGAGCGTGTTACCGTTTGACGCGACGCTGACGAAGCCCTAGACTCTCCTGCTTTCGACGCAAAGGCATACTACGACCAACTTATCACTACAGCGTCACTCACGACCCTCTTAAAGAAAGAGAACGAACTTTTGACGGGTATGAGAGCGCATATATCAGGACAATTCGCCCTAACCCATCATCTCTCAGAAATGAGACAACTGGATGGCGAACGCCAATCCCTCGTCTACAACCACCACCACGAGCTCATTGATGCCACGGACACTATATCGGCTGTGGGTAGATCCCCCGCGACTATCGCGAGGATATCTGACCCTTTTTCACTAGATGAGATCAAGGGCCGAATCTCTCGACTCGAACCTCGAGCTCCTCAAGGCCGCTTTTTCTGAGATATCCCGCCTGAGCGCCGAAGTTGCCATCGAGAATCCACACTCTTCTGATTGACCTGTACTATGCTAGTGCTATAGCCCGCTCATGTACCAATCCCTCGGGCTATGTGGTGGGCTTCAAGGCGTCCCTTATAATCAACCCGAGCTGATTATCTCTTCTTGGTAAAACTGTCTCTCATCAAGCTTGCTTGTGCTCTCAACCCAAAGACTGATTGTCGCAGCCTAGCCCAGCTGGAATCAGGATCGTTGCTGATTTGCACGATTAGAGGCTCACCTCATCTGCTCGTCGCAGTAGTCACGAATTTCCTGGTAGTGCTTCAAGCGATGCCGTCGGTGCATCAATGTCAGCATGGCGCATGTCGAGGCCATGGCTACCGGTCGGCCGTGAATGCTTGACTCTGTCGCATAGGATGGATACTTACCAAGAACAATGGCTAGAGTCGTGGTTGCGTACTGCCACAGCACGACATCGAACGGCTCTTCAGGCGCGTTGGCACATACGTTCTGAAGACAATTGTACTGGCTCCCGTCTTAGACTCTGCCTATCATTTGAACGATACTGTACTCACCGACCGACAGTCTCGATGGTACTGACATGGCTGCCCGACCGTTCGTAGCGACTCGCACATGTTTGTTGCCGTGTTGCAAAAGAAGCGTGCCGTCTGGCAATTGTCGCGCGTGATGGTGTTTGTATATCCGACGCCAGCAGCGTCGACGTCGGCATAAGTGCTGACCTCAAATACGCAAGGCTGAGTTTCAGACGCGTTGGCGTACCTTGAAGTGGCCGAGGTCAGCACTTTCCTGGAAACAGACAAGGCGGTACGCACGTGCAAAGAGAACGCAGACAGATGGAGCCATTGAAATTGTGATAGTCGGTCAACTCTAGAGTGTTTGGGGGCTCGCACTGGTCATCGCGGTTAAATTGACAGGGCTGGCCAACTGCCGCGAGTGGGCGACAGGTATCACCCTCGTCCGGGCAAAAGGTCCCCGCGGGGCACAGCGCTGGCGGTGTCTGGCCCATGCGGTAGCCAAACGGATATTCTTCACGACGGCATTGACGGGGAACGCATGTCCCATTCGTGGATCCCGAACAGAACGTCTGCGCGTCGCAGTCGCTTTCGAACTTTCGTGTACCAGGATCGAGGTGGTTAGCCGTGACTAGGCACGGTTGTCCGATAGCGGACGATGGGCCGGAAGAATCTAGGACGGCGAAGGCTGGGGCGGCCAGCCAGCAAGGTAGCCAGACAAACGCAACCGTGTCCAAGAGTCGCATGCTTGATTCTGTTGCTGGAGCGTAGCTTGCTTGGATGGCATTTTGAATCTAGGTGCTGATTCAATCCGACGGGCGGAATCAATATACGACAAAGCCTGCTAGTCTCAATGATGAATGACTCGAGCCGAGAGGTCGGTGGTCACCCCGTTGTCATTCAAAGTAGTATGGAAAGCCGGATACAGGTCTTACATCCTACAACCGACAATGTTACCGAGTCAAGCCTTTCTTGGCCTTTCCACCTTGACGCCGTCCAGGAACACGTCCACCTTTTCATCGTAGAATGCGACAAGGCCCTTGATTTCCGAGCACTCTGGAATTGGCGCGCGGTACCACCACACGAGGCCTTCCTTCTTCCCCGATGGTAGATTGACGTCGTAATAATTCGCAATCCCCTGTAGCATGGAGTCAATCCCTGAGCTCGCCAATGAACAGAGGGACGCGTACCTTGTAAGGGCAGCCAGTCGTCAACTTGGACTGGGTAAACAAGTCGAGGCGCACGTCGCTCTTGGGTATGTACGTTCGTACGGGAAGACCCGTCTCAAACAAGAGGCGCGGCTTGGTCGTGTTGGCCACCTCGACACCATCAATCTCGACGCGGACATGGCGTGAGGACTGTTGCACATCCACTCGCTGTGCATTCCGACTGTCAGCCCTAGCCCTAGTCTCACCGTCAAATCCACCCACCTTGTAGGGATCCTTGGGGTGATAGTAAAACTCCTCATCCTCTTCCAGCCAAGCATCCGCCTTGTCGAACGTCACCTTGACGAAGTCCTTCAGGTCCCCTTCGGTGTGAACAATCACAGCAGCTTCTGCCGTGCGGTCCGCCACCGTAAGATCAAAAGTCGTCAACTTGTCACCCTGCTTGGGGTTGCGCAGGAACTCCTCGGGGACGTCAGACTTGTGAAAGTAGTAGTAGGGAAAGTACGAGTGTTCCCAGCTGCCAGACCCCAGTGAGTCAGAGCCATCGAGAACGTCACGCCCCACTCACACTAGCTTGGCCTTGCGCGTGTCGACGATATACTCTCCGCCAAACAAGACGCGGACGCGCCTCTGGGCGTTCTCGGTGTATCCAGCGGGTGGGAATGGAATGGGCATCTTGTGAGAGAGACTTGCGACAGAGCGCACTGGGATCAGTTGCGCCAGGCGGTGGCTGCCTTTAAGCATGCCGTCCCCGAGAATAAACCCGGTATGGCTTATCCATCGTAGGCTTCCGTGACGAACGATTGGTCATAAGACAGGAGAGTGCTGAGAAATGCAGGAGGGAGCGGCGCAGCACCAACTCCGGATTCGGCGTCTCTCCACTCAAAATGCGATTTCTGCACGTCCTAGGGCAGTATAAGCATAATTTCAACATGCATTAATGGGGTAGTGGTAACCTGGGTCGTTGCCACTTTATGGGTCACGTGACCGCGTAGTCACTACCCTAATAGTACTAACTTCGACCCGCCCTGGGTTCGATTCCCAGTTAATGCATACATTTTTGTTAGCCTTGGGTTATGATGAAACAGGCGTAGGCACGTACAACAGTGTGCTCATATAGATGAAGTGTGTGTTGAGGCAATGGATTGATACTGAGGGGATGGGATTCAGCGTCGAGCGACGAGAGCTGGCACCATAGGCAAGTAGGGGAGGGGGAAAGGAGGACAAGCCCGGAGTCTGAGAGCATCTCGCATTAAGTACATACCATCCTCATGCATTCCAATCCTCGATTGGGTGCTGCACGTCGAGGCATCGAATGGAATTGGCCTGATCAGCAATGCGTTCCAACAGCAATCCTGATCAAGTAGCAAGAGCTACTCGATAAGATTGCTTCCATGCTGCAGAAGAGGTGGAGTCGAAGCACTATGTAAGGGCTCGAGTCGAGCGCCGAATGAACGCTGAGCCGCGGAACGACGGACCGCAATTGTCGAATTGATGTTTCGCCGTTCCCGAACCTGAGCGCCTTGGCCACGGCTTCGCGACATGCCACTCCGTCCTAGCCGTGCCTCGGCGATTGGCTTCATATGCCTCGCGGTCATCATTGTTCTATTCCTATACTCTCGCAGCGTTGACGAGTCCCAGCATATACCCCAAGAAACCCCTCATGATCGTATACCACGCTCGACCAGGATCGTCGCAGTTGGAGACCTGCATGGAGACATTGGGAATGCTCAGAAGGTCCTAGAGATGGCACATGTTGTAGACTCGCACGGAAAGTGGTCTGGCCAAGTAGACGTCTTTGTGCAGACCGGAGACATCATTGATCGGTACGTGCTCCGTACTGCTGCGTGGCCGCACGTTGAATCCGGGAATGTAGAGGCGACGACACTATCAAACTGTTCGACTGGATGGAAGACCTGCGCTCGCAGGCGTACGGCGTCGGTGGGCGTGTTCTCTCCCATCTTGGGAATCATGAGTGGATGAATGCCATTGGTGAGCGCCGCTTTGCCCGGACTATCGCATATCGACTCTGGCCATAGCTGACTCTTGTGCACAGGCGACTGGAGGTTTGTACACTACCTTCAGTGATCGAATCCATCTTAAATTATAAGACAGATATGTCCACGAGAGCGAAATCAAGACCTTTGGCGGTGTCGAAGAGCGGCAGGCAGTACTCTCGACCGGCCGAGTCGGACGCGCCTGGGCCGCAAACTATACGACGACTTCTCGCCTTCCCCTCCATCCCTCACTCGGCGCGCCAAACGACGACTTTCCTCCTCCCTCTGGCGCGGAAGCCAGTAAGCTGTCCTCACCGCTCTCACATGCCGCCTACTCTTTCGTGCACGGCGGGCTCTCCCCTGCGTACCCGCAACTCACACCGTTCCCTTCGAATATCAACAATATTGGACACTCGCTCCTGCGAAAGCTGCAGCATCGTGTTCAACCGCCGCCGCACCCGCCACACAAGTATCCCGGAATCCCTCCTAGCGCGACGCGCGAAGAGCACGCACTCTACGAATCAGATGGCCCTCTCTGGTACCGTGGATGGGCATTGAACGGCGAGACCAAGGTGTGTAGAGAGGTCGGCGCCGTGCTGGAAAAGACTGGCACGAGAAGGATGATAATGGGTCACACTCCGGACTTTGAGGTGCGTTGTGATGCTTTACCCGGGCCTAAGATAAAAGCGAACGTCTACGTAGAAAATCGTATCGCGTTGTGACGGAAAGATCATCATTATCGATACTGGTAAGTGTTCGATGTCATATCTTGCGGGTTAGCGCACTGATAGGTGTCTAAGGTATCTCTCATGCCTATGGTGGCGCGCTATCCGCGCTGAGCGTAGAATATACCCTCGAGCCCGTCGCGTCCCTTTCGCCCTCAGAGAAGAAGTGGCAAGAGCGTGAGGTCATAAAGGCACTGTATCCTGATCACTCAGTAGTCCTGGTCGATGAAGAGAGAGATGTGTTTGGGGACATATAGAATGTACGTAACGCACAACCTTGGCCGACGCTTTGCAACACTGGATATATTCTCGGCCCTCGCTGGTGTGCCTCAGAGTAAATGGAGAGTAAACAGTCGGCGGACATCGGGTCAACAAACGGACTGGCGCAGGTAATGATGTCATTGGGCGATCGCCTGAGCAAGTCAAGATGGATCCGCTCGTCAGCGCTGCCCAGCCCAGCCCAAAGCCACCTCGAGCCCAACTATAAAATCGGGCGTGCTCCGCTCACCTCCACCTCCATCCGCCTTCTTATCTTCACACTCCCCTCCCCATAAAACCAGGGCAGAAGCTGCGACACATGTTCAATTTCTTCTCGAGCGATCGCAAGTCCGGACCTAACCCCGATCCTACCAATGAATCTACAGCCAGTCTATCTGAAACAGAGTTCCCTGGAGGGCCGTCTCCTGACACCTCCTTCTCGTCTCCCCGCCGCGAGTCCCCTGGCATGCGAGATCAGCCTCTGAGCAACGGCCCGCAGGGCGGGCCTGGAGCTGACGCCACGCACAACTCCCCTGGGGTTGCCGACAGGGCCCGGTCCTCGAGGGTCGCGCCTCGGTCCCCGCTTGCGACCCAGCAGGACTTTGGTGGTGCTCAGCCCCCCCGGTCGTCCCCCAGTCTCCCCCCGCAGCCTCCACAGCACCCCGTCATCGCAGGCAAACCTGCCGCCACAGGAGGCTCCCCCGTCGCCCCTGTCCGCGTCAGGACGCCTAGCCCAGATTCGAAGCCTATTCTCAGAAACACAGCCGAGGCTCCCGTGAGCCATCCCCGCGAGCTGTCGGATGGCGCGCCGCCCGGCCCCAACAGCGCCGTCATCGCTGCGAGCAACGGGGCCGAGACCAAGTCCGGGACTCGCGCCCGGCGCTCGGGCTCCGTCGTGTCCCGGCGCTCGAATCGCAGTGTCCCGGCGGACAACTTGCAAGGGAGCACGTTCGCCAACGGCGCGGCGACTGCCACTTCCGAGCCTCCTGACGTGCACCCGATGGTCCATGAGCGCATGGCGAGCGCGGAGAACGAGCTGGCGGCGAAAGACAGGGCGGTGATCCACAAAGAAGAACGTATGCACGACCATTACATCGTTCGTGGGGTAGAATGCTGATACTCTGAGCGCAGACGGTCTCGGTCGTAAGTTGTCCAAGGTCGTGCGGAGCGAGGGCAAGGCCGAGAAGGCCGCTCTGCAGGTCGCCATGAAGGAACTGGCAGAACTTCAGAAAATGCAAAAGGCATCCATCAAGGTGCGCTAGCGTCTGCTTTTGACCAAGCATTCCGTTTCTCAATCTATTACAGGAGGAATCTACGTCTCATTCGAAGCATTCGCGCGCGCTCAGCGACGCACATAAGGCCGAGATGGATCTGCTTGCTGCGCGCAACGTCAACGAACGCGAGCAAACGAGCCTGCGCTCCGCCGAGGAGGCTCTGGAGGCAAGCCGCAGGCACGCGCGTGAGACGACCGAGATGCTCCGAGAGAAGATGGAGGAGGTCGAGCGCCTCAGGGCGTACAAACAAATGGACGACAGAGAGCGCGTGCTCAAGGTGAAAGGTCTCGTCGGCGATGTGAGTTCCTGGCTTGCATCACCTTGTCAACTGTGCCCTGATGGGACTTGCGTCATCACAGGAGAAACGGGGTCTCAGCAGGATTCTCGGATCCGCATAATGGCTTCGCCTCTCACTATCCTCCGAAACAACACCTTTTGCATACCCTTATCCTATGGTCTCTTATGTAATTCAAAACAAGGCTGCGTATTCTGTTCTATATGCTCTATCAATAGTCCAATACAATCACAAGTGCTATGATATAGTATCTCCACATAGTACACGACGCACACTTTAGTCTATGTATCATCCTGAGTCACCAGCAGCGGGCGCTCCTCCTCACTCTGGGTGCTGTACTTTCTCACTAGTCGCGACGTGAGCGCCCCGCCGTCCAGTTCTACGACCTCCTCTATGATGGCGTACCCGCCAATCTTTGGCAGCAGGACAATCCATACGTAATAGTACACGGCGCAGAGCTTGGCGAAGGCAGTGTTAGTCAGATCGAAACGTAGCAGGTTGAACGGATACGTACAAGGAGTAGGGCTATGCCCACGACGCAATACCTATTCGCACAGTACGAGTTAGACCCACCAATTCTACTCGAGTTAGGCATAATTACTCACATGGCATACCAGAAGGATACGTCTGCGTGCCCCTCTTCCGGTGGTACCCTGCCACGCAGGTATATCAGCACTCCTAATACCAGAAAAGAGATGGAGATGCATACCATGGCATCACGAGCAAGAATATACATTTGACGAGCCACAAGGTGATCGCGATGTTCCACACTTGGAAAGGAGACTTTGGCAGGCCATCGCGGGCCCGGCGCGCACGAAGTCGCCAGAGCCCCACGGCCGCTGCCGCGTCAAACACCTGAGAGAACGCGTAAGACCACTGCACACCCCGGAGACGGAGGGAAGCGCCTACAAGATGAGGGTATGATGCCAGGTCCAGCAGAAAGTTGAATGCATCCCGCGCGGGGAGTGCCGAGATGACAAGCACAGTAAGCGCATACTTCAGCGCGACCGGCCCCAGCGGGGTCCCGAAAGGCCGCGTAGACGCAAAGAAGGTCGGGTAGGGAAGCAGCCCCTGGCGAGCGACCTCGCGCAGGACACGTGCTTGGCCGACGGTCTGCGGTGCATACATGTCAGATCGCCCAGAGGGCGCTCTGATTCACTAAGAACGGCACTGACCACAGCGATCTGTGAAGGGAGACAGCGATAAGAATAGGGCGGGATGCCGAGAGCGCATGTGAAGGTGGACTGACGATATTCCCAACGCAGCTTAGCGCGACCAGGACGGGGAGAATCTTCGACGCCCAATGTCCACCAAATACATGTTGAAAGAACAGGGCCCCGACTAGCTGTCCGGACCCCTTTATCTCGTCGATAGGGACTGCAGCGATGTACGCCACGTTCACAGTGATGAAGAGGACCATCACTATCCCCAGCGAGATGAAGCCGGCGTTCCGGACAGTGCGCACAGGACTGTTGCCCTTTACCTCCCCGAGCACGTTGAAGGC